TTTCTGAACTTCCTAGAAAGGGGAAACCACATCTTACAAAGGTGGTACATTTGAAATGCAGGGTAACGTTTGGATTCCTTCTGCTTTTCAGGATATTTGAGGTTTAAAAATTTTTCTCATTTGAAATTAACAAAACATTCTGTTAGCTTCCCTCTATTCTTTGTTCTTTCTTCATAATTTTTTGAGACTGATTTTCCTCTTTATTCTCCATGGTCAATGGCTTTTGGGACATGAGGTAGGCTCTGGGACTGATTTATTTATTTGTAACATAACTGAGCATGATAGTTTTCCACAATAGATTTCTTGAATCATTAGGAATTTTTTTACTTGGGCTGAAGAGATGGCTCAGTGGTTAAGAGCAGTGGCTGCTCTTTAGAGGACCTGAGTTCAGTTCCCAACACCCATATGGTGGCTGACAATCATCCTTAACTCCAGTTCCAGGGAGAATCCAATGCCCTTCTCTGGCCTCCACACCATGTGTGTGGATATTGCACACATATGGTGCACAAATAGACATTAAAAAAAAACTTTAAGAAACTTACTTTTAAGTAAAAGATTCTGTTTAAGGAAAGCAACTGTTATTTTAGTGAAAGAGAACTGCAGAGCCAAATGAAGAAACGGAATCTGGATGTGGGACTCCTGAGCTCTGCCTTGATTATCCAGACCCTAGAAGTTTTCCCCTCTTTTCAACCACTGTGAAGAGAGTTTTTATTTCTACGGTGCCAGCATCAGCATAGAGTGGTAGTTGACTAAGTTTAATTTCTATCACTGAGCCAAAGAATCCCAGGTAATTAATGCCTCTGTTCCTAACAGTGGCAGTCTGTGCCCGTTCTTTGTTGTCAATAAATTACAGAGGAAGCAAAACAACACAACACTGAAAAAGTAACACTGTGTACCAAATGAATCTGTCTAGTGACCTTGACTTCTGAAGGTCTGCATAAAGTAAGCCTTGATTAAATCCCATTTTCCTGAGAAATTTTATGCCTGAACCTGTTCTTGCTGTTTCCTTGTTTCTATAGTAACCACAGTGGAAAACTTTAAGAGAGTCTACAATCCATTGACACTGGATTATCACCACCAGCTCATGTTGTCATAAAGAGCAGGAAGGCTACTTTTAATCTTCTTATCAAGAACAAATCAAGAAGCAGGCTTAAAACACATGTGGTCACAGTGGGTCAGGTTTCAGGGAGAAGTTCTGTTGAAGAAATGTATGAGTAAGGGAAATTCTGGGCTTGCCTTTTTTTTGTGAGTTTAAGTAATACATATCTAACCTCTTTTGATTGGTAAAGTAGAAATGCTGTCCAAAGATTCATTTCAAGCAAGAAATAACTTTTAATTGTCTCTGAAGTAAGTATCTGGAGCAGGCTTTTGAAACACTGTTTCCCAGGGCCTCAGAAGAACAAAAAGAGAGAGTATTGCTTGAGCTGAAGGAGTTAATCTTTTTCAGTTTTAAAGAGGATCCAAGAATGAAGCTGAGCCTTCAGATCAAATTCATGGGGCAGAATTGTCTATTCCTGAGGATGTTAAATGGCTGTACTTTTCAACTGTAAGACAGAAAAACAGGTGAGACTGTTTTTCTTGGAGACCAAAAATGAAGCCACTTAATGTGTGTACTGTGTCTCAAAGTCTTGGGGCTGGTAAGTGGGGGTTCACTTCTGTTGGGAGTGCTCTTGTGTGGTATTCCAAGAATTCTGATAAAAAAACATTTTCTACATGTGTCGTGACAGAAAATATCTTGCAAGTATTGCCACAAATAGACTTATGGGAAAATCTGAAAGTCCAGAAGTCCTTAGTTGTTACCAAAGTCTTACCAACAGAAGTAAAAGCAAGGATTATATATTTATTTTTGCATTCCTAAGGACAACAATGAGACCCACTCACTGTATCAAATGAGGCTGATATGTCAAGATTAGGACTGAGCCCTGAGCCTGGATTTGGTTCCAAGATCATAATGAATTTGGGTAAGTTGTGTTTGGGACTGTAGTGGGTATGAAAGCCTACAGAGCAGAAGAGGGCCTAGGAAGAGAACACTGGGAGGAGATGGTGCTACTGGGACTCTTTGGAGGAGCTTTGCTATGTACGCTGGTACAAAAATGGAGCTGAAACCAGATGAGGATGTAAGACTAAGAGTTATTTCTCCTTTTTAAAGAAAGGTGGAAATATGCCATGCTTTCCCATTAGTGAGGATGGTGCATTCGAAAGTAAAAGCTGACATACAGGAAGGAGTGAGGATTGTTGCTGGAGAGACGTCCCAGGTAAGTGAACAGGCATAGGCTCTAATGTGGTAACAGATAAAATTGCCTGGGACTGGAGCAGAGGCTTTACAATAGTCACCTGAGGGAAGACAAAGTGTATGGGTGTAGATACCAGCTCAAGTTGGAAATTATTTTCTGATGGCTTCTGTTTCTTCATGAAATAAAAGCCTGGTAAACAGCTGAGAGTGAGGAGGGAAGGAGGCATCAAGTCTGTATTCTTCTGTATTTTAGGAACTGGCTGTACCCACTCTGGGAAGTTTTCTAACCCTGATCCTAGCCTTTGAAGCTCCTTAATGTGCCATAATAACCTGGTAGGCTGTTCACGTTCCTTCATCTTCAGCAGAATGCAGGCTGTTGATGTGGGGCTGAGAAAATAGCGCATGCTAAATTTCCACTCTTTGTAGTCTGTGAGTACCCATTAGTAGTAGATGCAGAATAAAAAAATTTCTGGGGCTGGAGAGATAGCTCAGAGGTTAAGAGCACTGGCTATTCTTGCAGAGGACCAGGGTTTGATTCCCAGCACCCACATGTTGGCTACCAACCATCTCCAGTTCCAGGGGATCAGACACCATGTTCTGACTTTCATGGGTATTGCATAACACAAGTGAACTTACACACAAGGCAATATACTCATACATATAAAATATTTTAAAATAAAAAAGATTTCCTTGGGTTGGAGAGATGGCTTAGTGGTTAAGAGCACTGGCTACTATTGCAGAGGACCTGGGTTCTATTCCCAGTACTCACATGGCAGCTAACAACCATCTGTAACTCCAGTTCCAAGGGATCTGATAGCCTTTTGTGGCCTCCGTGGGCCTTGCATGATGAGGGTGCACTTATATACTTGTAGGCAAAATATTCATACACATAAAATAAATATTTTAAAATAAAAAGATTTCCTTTTGAAGCTTGGCCTAGAGGTGTGGGCCTGAAATCCCTGGTAGTTAGGAAGCTTAGAGAAGGACTGGAAGTTCAATATCTGTCTGGGCCAGCCAGAACAATGTAGTGACATGCTGTGTCAAAATGAAAAGTAAAACAAGGGAACTTCTTTTTGAGAACTCTGACTAGTGCTTTCTAGTTTTCTTTTTCATATACCAAGTGTAAGAAACAAGCAAAACTATAAAAAAATGCCTTCTTACAAAGAGAAGAAGCAGGAAGACGTGCTTGTGCTGGGAACTATATATTTGCAAAGGGGCAATGATTTTGTTGTTTTAGAACTATTGCAATATTTACTTTTCATCAAGTAATGAGAACCTATAAGCTCCATGGTCATGGACTAGGGAAAAATAAACCTGGTAGCATGTTTACATGATGAACAACTATTTAAAGTTTAAAACTAAAAATTGTATAGAAATTTAAAATGTGTTTCCATTGTATTCCTAATAAAGGCAAAGCAGGTTACAAAGAACAGAAGTGGCCTGAACTCACTTTTGCTCCTATGTCTCTATTTATCCAGCAGATTCCAGCATATGAAAAAATTAAAAGATCATCTTGCTTATGGTTAATTTTTGAGACAGGGTCACTCACTGAACCTGGAGTTCATCCATTTGCCTAGGTGGACTACCTAGCTCTAGGAATCTACCTGTCTCCATCTCTCCAGCATCAGGGCTGAAAACCGAGCACACTAGCTCAGGTCACGGGGCTGCTCTAAATTCAATTGAAGGGAAAATACGGGAAAAGCAGTGGTTGAGGGTGTGAAGTGCTCTCCAAGTGATAACAATTTCAGATTGGCTATCAGACTGACAAACGAAAGGCTTCCCTCCTTGCAAGCTCTCCTACTCCCTCTCACTTACTAGCTGGGCCAACTCCTGTTCAATTATCAAGCTTTACACTCAGGGGCCTATTTCTCCTGAAAAGCACACCTCCAGCCTTGACCCTGAAGCTCTCTCTGCATTCGGCACACCATGGCATAATCATGTTCATAGAATTATCTCCCTTCTGAGTCAGATGGTTCCTGGTAGGGTCAATCTCTTTCAAATTCAGAACACATTACTGCCTGTATATAGTTCTATGCACAATCAGAAGTTATGAAGTGTGAGCCATGTTTGGACACAAGAAAGGGCCATAAAGGACTGGGAAGGAAGCTGACACTTCTTCGCCAGGTCCCCGTTTCTTCCTTTGCTTTCATTATGTTCATGTAGTTTCTCTAAGACACAGTTAGCCAGAGCTCCTGTATGGAACCTAGAGGTCTACCACTGAGCTACATCCCCAGCTCCCCCATGCGTTTGTATGACCAACTTTCCTTCTACCCTTCTCCCTGGAATGAGAATACCTCAAATAGGATGCCAGTTCCGTCACAGCCTAACCAAGTCGCGCTAGGAGAGTTATCTTCTCTGGGGCTGTTATTGCAAAATAAGGGTAACCATAGTACCTATGAGAATCAAGTGCTCAGTGTGAACTACAGCAGTCTACAGGTTCTCGTCAAGATTTCCAAGCACCCACTTTTCCATCAGTTTTGCCTTCCTCTTTTACCCATCTGAGGCTGCAGCCCACACCTGTTCCTACATCCACACCTTCTAAAATGATAGCCATTCTTCAAATTAGGAGGTGAAGTAAAACACTCATTGGCAATCTCAGGCTCTGTGGTATGCAAATACACCTTTGAATTAGGAGCTATCATACAAAGGGGGTTCCTATGGTCGTCGTTTTGCTGATCACTTCTGCATCCGCCACCCTGCTCTCCTGCGCCGGGCCAGGGCTCAGCCGGTTCCCGGCAGGTGGCAGCCGGCGCCCCGCCCCTCTCCTCGCCGCCGGGCCGCCCCCCGGGCCTGCGCTCCCGGCTGCCGAGAGGCCCGTTTCCGGTGGGGCCAGGGCGTCTCCGCGGCGGTCCACTCCCGCGCTCAGCACCGCCGGCGGCGGCAACATGCAGGCGGAGCGCGGACCTCGGGGCAGCCGGGGGCGGCGGCCCGGGACAGGGAACGGGCCGGAGCAGCGGCGGCGCTGGCGAAAGGCGGCGGGGACGGAGGCCCCCGGCGGGGCCGAGGTCGGGGTTTCCGCGGCGGTCGCGGAGGCCGAGGAAGAGGCGCCCCGCGGGGCGGCCGGCGAGAGCCAGTGGATTGGGGCGCCGGAGTCAGCGCACCGGTAAGAGGCGCGGACTGCGGAAAGGCAGATGCTGCGGCCCGGCTGGGAGGCGACAGCGTGGAGCGGAAGCGCGAGCCAAGGCGCCTGCGCCGGAAGGTGGCGGGCGCGCGCATAGTGCTCGCTTCCTGAGGTCGGGCGTGGCACCGCACTGCTGCTGCTTTCCCTGGTGCCGGGGCTCCCGAACTCGGTGGAGAGCCAGGGCGGAGGCTGTGTGTCTGGGCTGCGGAGGTGCAGGCCGGGCCGGCTCACTCTAGTCACTAACCGGAGGGCCGGTGGGCCCCGCAGCCTTACCTAGTCCCGCATCTTGAGCTTTTGGCTTCTGTTCGCCACCTTCCTGCTCCACGTAGAAGCCTAATTAAAAATGTTGAATTCAAGAATGTTCTCTAGGGACAGGGCCCTGTAACATTCGGGAGCGAGATCAGATCGCTTTTTTTTTTTTTTAAATAAAGGTAACTGGCCATCCTCCGTTTGGGTCTTCAGTACAGAAGCCAGGTCTAACGTTTACAATGACAATAGGATTTTCTCAGGGACTGGAGCCGGGAGTGATGTCTGGGCGCAAACGCTTACCTGTCAATGTCCTAGGTGAGGTTGGCAGAATACTGATTGTGTATGAAATGTTTTAACATTTCTACTGCAAGATTTTCTTTAGTTTGAGTTCTTATGCACATAATTTTTTTGATTGAAGCAAATTTTGTGTTGCTGAAATTCACATTATTCCCTTCAATCTCCCACCTTTCCGCTGAGGATCAAACACAGAACCTTGAACGTTGCAGGACTCTACCTCAGAGCTACATTCCTACCCCTAAATTTTCCTTTAAGGGCATACACGGTAAGTGGTCTCTACGGATAGGATAGTTATATACATACGTAGATATATGACACAAAGTTGAAAAAAAATTATCAAAAAATTTCAGGTAGGTAACAATATTGGAGTGAGAAAATTTTTAGGGTCAGTATATCTGCAGGTTTGAGGAAGGAAACTCACATCAGCTTAATGCCCAGCTTATACATCACATATTGTCCTTAAAAGAATTCTTATATGATGTATATGTCTAACCTACATTTGTACAGGTTAACTGAGTTGCTTGCCTCGCTAATGGGAAAAGTAATATTTGAACCACTGTTTTTTTTTTTTTTGTTGTTGTTTTTTTTAATCTTTACATTTTTGTGACCCTATCACCATTTTACTGAGAACAAAGTACTGCTTTAGTAGTCATTATACTAAGGTGCCCTTGGTACCGGCTGCAGTGTCTGGCAGACAGGCCCTTGTTAATAAGTGCTAGCTGTATTCATGACTAAAAGCTCCTCTGACTTTCATCACTGATGAACTATATTGAATAAAATGATGATTTATCATTTAGAAAAAATAAAACCTTTTAAAAATAATGCTAATACTGTATTCTATTAGTACTGTAGTCTATCAAAAAGTGGGGTTTTTATTCTTTGCTGGGATGATATTCAAAATTTCACTTTATATTTCCTCATAGAATTTTCTCACCTCAAGGGGTGTGTATGTGTGTGTGTGTGAGTGAACACTTGGCACACTGCCTGGGGCATCGATGGTAGCTGTAGCCCTCACCTCCAACCACTGTCAGACATTCTGCTTTCAGCCACAGCTGGACACCTTTTTGGATTCATATTTAATCTTGCTGAGAATACCTAAAGATTAAATGGGACAAGATTGACTAGCCTTCCTGAAGCTTCTTTGTTCCTATATCTTGTGGAACATTTGGATCCTAAATTAGGATTAACTGGAATGCTCTGAAAGAAAAATATCATAATAAAATTCTGACCATGTAAGGACCGTTGTCCAATTACAGAATTCAGCACTGTTTATACTCTTTGCTGATACTCTGGATCACTATATACAGACAGAAAACAAAGCAAAAAAGCTTCTAGATATGTAATACCGAGACAACTTAGTTGGTAACTAAGCTACCCTGAAATCATTCCTTTGTAGGGTATGAACCATGAGCTTACTAAATTTGGATAAGCATATCACAAAGCCAGTTGTCTTCACTGAGTGCCTAACTGAAGCATTGAACTTTCGTGGGTGTAATCAGTAACTTCACATTTAGTATTTTATCTTTTACATTTCTCTCTCTCTCTCTCTCTCTCTCTCTCTCTCTCCAGCTCCAGGGGCTCTGATGCTCTCTTCTGGCCTCTGTAGGCCCTGCACTCATGTGTATGTTTCCATACACAAAAGTAAAAATAAATCTTGAAAAATTAAACAAAGAAATAATCATGAGAATGTTGATGTCTCCAGTTCCTTTGGATATATACCTTATAGCACCAGTGGGCCTGTTTTTGTTATGTGAGGAACATCTGTATTGCTTTCTCTAATGCTATACTAATTTATCTTCCTACAGTATATGAGAATTGCCTTTTTCTTTTTCTGCATCCTTGTTAGCTTTTTCTGGTTTTCAAATTTAAATTTATTTAAAATGATACATAAAATTTAAATTATTTATGGTGTATCATGGCATTTTTTTTTCATGGCATTTTTTTTGAGACAAGATCTCACTGTCTCACTATGTGGACTAAGTTGGCCTTAACTCAAGATCTTCCTGCTTCTACTCCCAAGGTGTGAAATTACACATGTGCTCCACCATGTCTGGCCTTATTTTATGTTGATTGATTGATCGATCCATCGATTGATTGATTGATTGAGACATAGTCTCACTGTGTAGCTTAGGCTGAAACTCAAACTCATCTTACCTCTGCCTCCCAAGTGCTGGGATTACAGGAGTGCACCACCCAGGTTTAATTTAACTGTTTCTTGATAACAGGCATTCTAACTGGGATGAGATGCTCTTTCATTGTGGGTTGTCTTTTCTTTTTTTCTGTTTTTGCATTTATTGAGACGTTTCTAGAGAATTCATCAAGAATCTATCTCATTTTCATTTTTTTTGAAAGCAGTTTGTTCTCATTGTGGTTTTGATGGTTAGTGATGTTGAGCATCTTTTTCATACATTTATTGTCCATTTACATATCTTCTTTTTGAGAAGTGTCTGATCAGGTCATTCACCAATCTTAATCAGATTATTTATTTTTCTGCTTTTGATCAGTTTGAGTTCCTTATTCATTTTATAATTCATCTGTTCTTGGATGAATCTTTTTTTTTTTTTTTTTTTTTCGGACTGGGTCTCCCTAGTCACAGTCCACCTGGAAGTCACGATATGAACCAGGGTGGCCTTGATCTCAAAGAGATCCACCTGCCTCTGCCTCTGCCTCCTGAGGGTTTGGATTAAAGGCACATCCACCACACCTGGCAGATGAATATCTTGTAACTATTTCCTCTCCTTCTGTAGGTTATCTTCACCTTCTGTTGGTTATTTCCTTTGCTGGGCTATAGCTTTTTAGTTTGATGTGTTCCCATTTGCCAAGTTTGCTTCTGTTGCTTGGGCTTTTGGGGTCATATCCAGACTCTGCCCACAGCCATGTTCTGAAGCTTTAAAGTTTCAGGTCTTACATTTAAGTCTGATGTATTTTGAGTTGATCTTTGATATATGGTTTCTTTCCTTTGGGTATGGATATGTGCATATGGGGATCTCTGTTCTGTTCCACTGGCTCCCCAATCCCTTTCTTTGTGGTGCTGGGATTTAATTTAGGACCTAGTGCATTATAAAGATGTACTGTACCATCAAGTCACTCTCCTACCAGCTATTATTTTTGTGCCATGCAGCTTAGCTTATTATTCTTTTGTATTGGATAGCTTTAGTGTCAACTTGACACACCTGGGTAGAGGGAGCCTCGGTTGGGGAATTGCCTCCATTGGACTGGCATGTGGCCATGTCTGTGGGGCATCTTCTTGATTGGAGAGTGATGTTGAGTGATGTGGGAGGGCCTGGAGGGCCCACCCCACCGTGGGTGGTGCCACTCTGGGCAGGTGAGCCTATATTGTATAAGAAAGCAGGTTCAGCATGGGCCAGGGGAGCAAGCCAGTAAGCAGCGTTTCTCCATGGCTTGTGCTCCAGCTCCTGCCTCCAGGTTCCTGCCCTGAGGTCCTACCTTGGGTTCCTTGATGATGAACTGTGACCCAGGAGATGTAAGACAAACCCTTTCTTCCTCAAGTTAGTCTTGGTCAGAGTATTTTGTCATAGCAATGGAGAAACAAACTAGAACACCTTTCTAGGTTTTTAAAAAAAATTTATTTTTTGTTTATGTATATGAGTGTTAAGACTGCATGTACGTAGTGCACCCGTGTTGAGCAGTGTCCACAGAGGACAGAAGAGGACATTGGAGTCCCTGAATGTGGAATTAGGGATGATTTTTAGCCACCATGTGGGTGCTGGGATTTGAACCTGGGTCTTCTGCAAGAGAAAGCAGTGCTTTGAACCGATGAGCCAACTCTCTCGACTCCTGTAGTATGTTTTGAGGTCAGATATGGTAATGCCTTAAGTTTTGTTCTTTTGCTCAGGCTATTTGGGGTCTTTTGCAGTTTCACTCAGATTCTAGGAGTGGTTATTCTACTCTGTGAATAAGCTCTCAGTATTTTGGTAGGCTTTAACATTGATTCTATAGGTTAGGTAATAAATTTAAAAAGTATTAGTTCTTGGGGTGGGAGAGATGGTTCATCAGTTCAGAGCATTGGCATCCACATGGTGGCTCACAGTCATGTCTAACTCCAGTTTTAGGGAATCTGATGCCCTTTTCTGGCCTCCATGGGCACTGCATGACCATGGTGCACATACTTCTTTTAAGTGTTTGTTCTTCCATCCACGAACATTGAAGGCCTTTCTGAAATATTTGAGTCTTTCTCCAGGTTCTTTCAATCAGTGTTTTGTAACTTTCATTGTAGATCACTTCCTTGGTTAAACTTATTCCCATGTTTTATTTATTTATTTAT